ATAAATTTTATTTATAATTTTTTAAACAATAGACAACTTTATGCAAATAGATTTTTATTCGGCACACAATTGGCTTACAAATGGAGGAAAAGAACACATTAAAAAAGCAAAACGATGACAATACATCACATTTCATACAATGAAAAAACTTTCCGCATTAATTTTTTGTTTTAACATTATTTGAACTAAAATATTTAAAAATAATTTTAAAAATAATAATAAAATTAATAATTTTAAAAATTAAAATTTTATTAAATTATTTTATTTAAAAAATTTATTTTCCAAATTCTGTAAAAATATTTATTACTTTAAATATGCAAATAACATTTTAGAAGCAATGTGTACATCAAAGCCTAAATTAATAATTTAAAATATTCACTCAATGAAAAGGATATTGGTTAAATAAGAAAAATCTTTATCATGTGACATATAGAATTTAACAATTTAATTCTATACGCAAAAATAAATAAATTAATTTCGTATCTGAAAAAAGAAATTGCGGATTCATTCTTATGTTCTATTTAAAATAATTATGTAATATTTCTAATTGTTGGCAAATATTTTGTTAATAAAACCAACAGAGAATTTCGTATTTCAATGCAAGTTTTGTTAGAAATTTTCACCAATATTAGAAAGCTTACAATAGTATTGCTTTTCTATTCCATATTTGTAACCTAATGTCTTCGGCTTGAAATGCTTTTAATCTAACTACACTTTCTTATTAAGAAAAAAGGAGATTTATTTAAAGTGCCAAATTTTTCATTTTTCAACATATTCCAAGATGAATTCTGGAAGGATTAGTTTATTTAGGTCCACTAATATAATCAGGATTTATTTCTTAAAATGAAAAAATCAGCTGTTCTGTTGTTAAATCATAGTTTCGCTGCAGTCATGAGGATTGTATGGATGTTTCAACAATTATCTTCATTTTAACAATTCAAAATCAAGTATAAATTCATATTTATATGCATCTATTCTAAAAAAAAAAAAAAAAAAAAATTATATATATATATATATATATATAAATAATAAGAAGAATAAAAATAACAATAAGAAAAAAATGTACACGAAAATTCCTTTCGAATTCTGATTAAAAACTCAAATACTAGATCACAAAGCCTTTAAGAGTTTAAATCAAATCATAATTATTTCTGTTATAATAAATAATAATAATTATAATAAAAAGCCTAAATAATGTGCATAACTGTATTTAATAAATTGTTAACTATAATTTCTTTTAAAATTGCGAAATAACTTGAAAGTGCCACTGCACTAGTGTAAAGCAATGCACGAGAAAAAAAAAATGTTAAGTAGAACGATCTCCCCCCTCCAACACTTAGCAACTTGTTTTTCGGTAACTTGTATTATATTGCAGTTATATATTTTATTGCAGTCTATATGTGTGGAAGGGAGGCTGCACCCCCCCACTGTGCAAACCCCACCCAACTGTGAAAACCCCCACTGCAATCTGTCACAATAGTCGTCATCGTCATTTAGACCCTCCCTACTCTCTGTAGGGAGGGTGAAAGAAAAAAATAGCCTCGCTTTGATCACTGAGTAAGATCTTCAATCCCTTTAAAATACATCATTGACTCACTTTATCCTAATTAAGAGTAAATCGGTTTTATGAGGCAATTTATATTACAGAAGTAACACAGTAAGAAGTAAGTCTTTTGAAATGCTCTTCTCTTGTTTATGACCCTGGGGGGAAAAAGGGGGTCTTTGGTGTTGATAAGAGGAATGTTTCGTGTCTTCAACTTTCCTTCCCCACTCTAAAAGTCCCTGGAAGAAATAGTTTTTGTAAGTATTGATGGCGTTTCTTCCTTCTCCTTGTAGAAACAGGAGGGGTCTCGGTCCAAACAAACTTGCTCAGGCTCAAACAAACTTCAACACACATCATTGGTTCATTTCAACTTCCTAAAATCAATAATAATCTTTAACTTTTACGAAAAAATGTGGACAATGAAAATTTAAGGGATAGAATATTAACAAAATTATTATTATTATTTTTTTTTTTTTTTTTGTATTTTCTAATGGCAATTGATCATTCATAGAAAAAAACACGGTGGACATTATAAAAAAAAAAAAAAAAATATTTTGACAAATCAAACCGGAGGAAATTATTTTAATTTCGTATTTTTGGCAATTTCATAACTCATTTGAAAGGTCTGGAAAATTGAAAATTCTCTGGAATCACTCGAATTTCGGAAGAATACAAATTCTTAGAACAGTATGCACCTGCAATTCCTTATATTAAATTACCAATGCTGTAAATTAGGCCTGAATGGCCGAGTGTTAGCGCTCGGAGCCACAGGTTTCGAGTCCCCGGCGGTGCCATGGATGTTTGTAGTGGTTCGGAATCCGCTTTAAGTCGTAGGTCCCAGTCTCCTATGACTGTAAGAGCGTCACGGAGCAGGTAGAAATCAGACTTCTACCTACGGGTGCTCCATCAGAACAGAAGCTGCACCCCTTTTCCCTCTTTCCATGAGGGATACGACAACAACACAATAATGCTGTAAATTAGATTAGTCAAAATTCAAATACAGAATTCTCTTGCTTATATATAAGCGCAAGAGATCGAAAAAAGCATGACTGACAGTCAAGCCAAAATCAATTTTAATTGACCATAAAATGTTATACAGAATACAGAAATATCAATGATGGGGTTTAATGTCTGTAAATTCAGGATTTTAATACTATGTAAAAAGGTAAAATAGACGTATAATAAAATAAATATTAAAATGCTTTATATATTTTTCTAAATAATCTAAAATTGAAGTTCGTTTTTTTTTTGGGTTTTTTTTTTTTTTTTTTATAATCATATAAAACAGTTTTATCAAGTTACTCAAATTCATATATTCGTGAAGTTTCAGTGATTTCATTCCTCCTCCTTTTTTTTAAAAATTGGTTTTGGAATTTTCATCCTTCACTTTAATACTTCATTGCTTATTATTATTATTTTTTTAATTTTTGTATTCATTGCTTTTATTGGCTCATTTCAACTTCACACATCATTAATATCAACCTCATACATAATTTATATCAACATCATACATCATTTATTTATTTCAATTTCATTCATGGTATATAAATTATGATGCACCACATATTTTATACAAAAAAAATAAATAAATAAAAAAATAAAATAAATAAAAAATAATAAATAAAAAATAAACTACACACACACACAAAGTTAAAATGTAAGAAATTATCAAAGATAACCAAGAATTTCGAAGTCACTAAAGATTATTTTAACTTAATATGAAAAGCATATAAAAAAAAAAATTACCTTCATCATTCAGTAATAGCCACACTTCTCTATTTAAGCCAGACTGACTGATTTGATGTAGAACGAAGCACCTTATTTAGCTTCTGTCTTGAGTTAGTAGATAGAGATAAAAAGATAAATTCATTGCAAACAAAAGGAAGAAATACACTCATGTCCATAAATTAAGGATAATGAAGTTCAGGCAAAGAAAGAGACAGAAGCAAAACAAATTTGACTTATTTGTAAAGTCTATTTATTAAACAAAAAGGTAAAGAGCAAAAAAAGATGCTATATGTTTGACATAATTCATACAAATTGCGATTTTTACTCCCTGGAGCAAATTTCAAAAAAGGACCTATTTACAAAATACAGTATAACATGGTTAGTATGATGGCTAATACGGAGTATGTCTCCCGGACGATGCAATACAGGCCTTACAACGCCTAGGCATGCTGAGTATCAAATTATCAATCTGATCTTGGGGAATATTCACCACTCATCAAGCAATGCTCTCCGAAGTTCCGGTTGACAGGTGGGAGGAGGTTGACGGGCTGCAATTCGTCGGCCAAGCATATCCCACACATGCTCTATTGGATTCAAGTCCGGTGAGTATGCTGGCCAATCCATACGGGTGATATCCTTCAATTGAAAGCATTCGTCTTCAATGTTTGCACGTTGAGGACGGGCGTTGTCATCCATAAACAGAAATTCAGCACCCATGGCGCCCCGAAACAAACGTACATGTTGTTCCAGAATGAAATCCCGATAGATGTGGCCTGTCATCGTTACACTCTGAACATGCAGGTCAGTTCTGGAACCAAGAATATTTCCTCTCCAAACGAGCCATCCTGCACCACCGTAACGGTGTCGTTCAATGGTGTTCTCTTGGTGGTAACGGGTACCTGGCGCTCTCCATATAAAAGTCCGGCGAGAATCAGAGTGCAAACTAAACCTGGACTCGTCGGAACCATCATCATGGAATCGTTGCCTAAGCCTGGAGATGACACTCTGGGCGATTCCAAGTTTCTCGGATACTTCCAGCTGGGTACGTCCACATTCCAGTCGTCCGATAATTCTACCAAGTAAAAAATCACCCAAATGCTTCCTTTGTGCCATAACTATGCGGTTATTGCACTGAAAGGCTTTGAAAGCTCTTGTGAACAATTTTACTTCTTTGCCACCATTCCTTATATACCCCTCTCTTACAGTCTCGTTATTGTGACGTACTATCCGCGCCATCTGGGGGTTTCCTGTAATTTGCATTTTCTTCTTCAAGATGTGTGTGATAATTCTACAGGTGAAATTTTTATTTTAGAGTTCAATTTCTGTGTGATTCTGAATTATCCTTAATTTATGGACATGAGTGTAGTTATAGGAATCTTGCTCTTAGAGTAATTAAAATTTAAAGATAGAAAAAAAGAATTTTTTTTTTTATAATTATGTTGTTTTTGTTTCTTATCTCACTTGTCTGGCCAAGCCCACGAACCCATACGTACTCATGATTGAAGGGGAAGGAAGCAGCTTCTGTTGTGATGGAGCACCCGTAGGTAGAAGTCTGACTTTGGCTCCGTGACGCTCTTACAGTCATAGGAGACCGGGACCTACGGCTTAAAGTGGATTCGAACCACTACAAACATCCATGGCACCGCCGGGGATTCGAACCCGAAACCTGTGGCACCGAGCTTCAGAGCGCCAGACACTCGGCCATTCAGGTCCCAAATTTGTGAATGCCAACGGCACGTGGTGTTCCCAGGTGGTCACCCACCCAAGTACTGACCGCGCCCAATGATGCTTGACTTCGGTGATATTTACTTCTTAAATTTTTCCCTCTTTTAGTCCATAACTTAGATTATTCCTCCTGTTTCACTTCTATTCACTAAAAAACCTATTTAATTAATTTCTTTAATTTATTTCCTTTTATCCAGCTTGAAAAATAGTAATTTATTATATTTCTTCTATTTTTAAAAACTATTCAAACATTCATATTAAAATTTGCAACATAGCTGTTCATTACACTCATCGAGTCTAGATGGCAGCACACGCTGACCTCGTACATTTGTGTCGTATTTACTTTATTTCACCTTGTACAGCTCATCACCTGCAATTTTTGTATATATTTCTTATAAAATCACCTGCGTGTGATTACCATGCCCACCTATTCGTGGATGACTTTTGTTTTTGCATTCACCCCTGTTGTAACTTTCATTTTTATTTTCAATAAATCCGTGTTCTCGCCGGTACCCCGAAATCAAGTCACTTAAGTATAAAGTGTCCCCCCTATCTCTGCTTCAGCTGTTATTATTATTTTCTCCACTTAATTTCATTTAAATCACTTATTGCACCTGTTAGAAAATGGGGATAAAGGCCGTTTGGCTCAGGTGCCCCTTTCCACCCTCCCTCGAATGACTTGACTTCGGTGATCTAACGAGAACCGTATATTCAGCATGGTATGGCCGTTGGCTTTTTTATAATTATAAAAATATATATATATACAAGAATAAATTTTAGAGTGAGAGTTAATAAAAGTTGAATGTAAAAAATAAAAAAAAAAAAATCAAGAAAAATAATCGTTTGTGAAAAGAATGCAATTAAACTAGAAAATTTTTAATCTGAAAGAAAAGATAGAAATACAAAAGAATAGCGAATGTAAAAACAATTTATTGGCGAAATAATTGCGATTAGAAGCCAAAGAGGAAGCCTGGAGACATAAGTAACCAATTGCGTGCCTTGATCACGCCTACTTTGGCGCCGAAGTACAGACAACCAATCAATAAGCAATATTTGTTCACTTCCTCTACTTGAACTTTCTTAAGACTCATTTAAAATTTCTTATCGTTCCAG